AAAGAGAAGGGGTCTATCACTGAGCATGGTTCCCTTGGCTCTCTCATTTAAGCCTTCCTTATCACCAGTGAGTTAATATTCCTGGAGCGCTTCCTGTGAGCTGGGCGCTCTTATACAATTAAAGCATAGAGCAGTGAACCAGGGGGGCTTCAGCTCCTGGGAATTGACATCTTGATGCAGGAGACAGAAAATAGACAAGCCAGTAAAGCCCATCAGCTGGGTCCCCTGTGCTGCTGGTGCCTTCAGGACGGGCACGTCTTTAGGAGTGGTTGTAGGAAACACATGGTCCAGGTGATGCTGAGTTTGAACAATAAGGAGGAGAGAGTCATGCAGAAGTCAGGGGCAGGGTGGGTGAGGAACAGTTGCCAAGACTCCAGGTGGCTTGTCCCCAGGAAGAGTCACATGTTGGTCTGAGAAAGAGGAGACATGAGAGGTAGGAGAGTGGGACCACCGTGGCCTCCAGCCTCAGTGGAAGAGGCTTGGCCTGTGCCCTGGGTGCAAGGGAAAATGACAGGGACAACTTAAATAAAGGAGGGACATGTTCACTTTGTGTGTTGAAAGGAGATGTCATGTCTTTTGTCACCAACTTGGAATAAATAGTCTCTTACAGGAGAGGCTCTGGGCTTGCATTCTGCAAATCCCCGGAGGCCACACAAACTGCTGAGTGCATCCACCATGCAGAGATGGCTCCCTGTTCAGGACGGGAGCTTCCTCCTTCTAGCAAGCTTCCCTAATTTTAGGGCAAACACCTGAGTGCCAAGGTCAGGATGATGTCAGGTTTTTGCTGTTGTTTTCCATGAGGCTGGACTGATTCAGTTTCTATTTGGTTATCTTGATTTTTCTAAGCAGAGTGGAGCTGTTGTTAACCAAGAATTCTTAAGTCAGCACATAAGGTGGAAGTCTTTTGTATATTTGTTTGAGTGGTGCTGTGCACAGCTCTGGGATAACACTGTGTGAATAAGAAGGAAAAATTGGCTGTGACAGAGCAAATACACTTTGCTCAGGTTGGAGCTTAACTTTAAGACTTACTGAACAACAGGTGACTCTATATCATACTCGTACTATTGGCTGAAAGGGTGATCTTTATAGATAAGTACATATAGGTATGATAAAGTTAAATTAATTTTCCCCTATATTTTTTATTGGTGCATTATGATTATACATAATGGTGGGATTTGTAGTATATTCACACAGGAAGGAACAGTGTAATTTGGCCAGGATCAATCATCCCTCAGTATTTCCCCTTTCTCTTCCTCCCTCCCCCTGGTCCCTTTCCTCAACTCTGCTGATCTCCTTCAATTTTTCATGGGATTTCCCTCACAAACCTTTGTTTCCTAAAGTTAAATTTAAATACTATGTATAATATATAAACTACATAGAAAAAAATATTATTTTTATTTAACTAAAAACTGTCATTTAATTAAATTGAATGTTTAATTTAAAATTTCAGTATTCTTAAAAACAATCAAGAATCTAAGCCAGCTCTTTCTGATGTTATTTTTTTAGTGATATCTTTCTGGGAAGATCTTTTTGATATATTTGATTTCAGACAACACAGGCTGCCAGTATACACACACACACACACACACACACACACACCCTCCTCAAGGAGAAATTAAGTCATATAATATGTGATCCTAAAATAATGTTCATGGCTGGAATGTATGGTGTGCATTGAGCTCTCGTTGAACCAGGGTTGGCATTTTAGCCAGCTTTGAAAACTTTTTTGAAGACTTTATACTTGCACCTGGAGACATCTGGACCCAGACAAGGATGTCGAGCCGGCCAGGGATCCCCTCTCCTGCCTGGTGATATCCTGCAGCGTCAGGATGCGTGCTGTGTCCGTGTCCGTGTCTGTGCCTGTGTCCTCTGAAGATGTTATCATTTCCAGTTGGCAGGCTTCACTGAAGATAAGGCCACAAATGTGGTTCGTGCACACATGGTGCCTGTTCTCTGAATTGTGTTCTTGTTCTCCAATTTCTCTCTGTGGCTTATGGTCTCCTGGAAGAGGCTTTGTGGACTCCTCCTGTTCCCTCAATGCTTGGTCCCTGCATCTGGGCTGGGACCGCTGCATGTCGCCTCCTTCCATGCTGTGCCACAGTGGGCCTCCTGTCTTTGGCTTTTGACGGACCCCTCATCCCATTTCTATTTGGTGTTGGGCAGTGCCACGGTCCCCTAGGTTTATTCACCACCCACGTGCCCAGTGGTGAATAAACCCTGATGGTGTTTCAGGATTGGATTCTTTCTGAGGCTTTCTGTTTTCAGGGGAAACACAGGGGAAGTCACTAGGGCTTCATAAGCTGAAACTAAAGATGGCCACTTCAGACTTGCTCTTGAAGCCCCAGGGTGAATGTTAGCCCTGACCTGTTAACTCCATTGTCAGTCAGTGCTCCAGACAGAATGAAGAAGTTGTTTTATCTGTTCATTCATTTTCTCCTCCTGGGTTAGGTGGCGGTGCTGGCGTTTCCTCTGCAGAATGCTAGTGAGTGGGCTGCCTCTCAGGCCCATGCTCTGCCCCAGAGTCACTTGCAGTTCTTCCTTAACCTGTTCATGCTACTTGTCCTTGACACACTTACCATCTGAACCGATGAATAGGAATGGCAAATAGCAGTGTGGTTTGACAAGTTGAAGGCTTTGAAAAGATTTAATAAAGACTTCACTAGTAAGTGTTTTTCCCCCTCTGTAATTTAAATGTGGATGAAAATAAATGAGGGTCAGCGAGCAATGGCAGGACTAGAAGAGGACCCTCTACTCAAAAGTTTCCCAGGAGTCTCAAACTAAGGGGCACTCGATCACTGAACCCATCCCCAAACCTGTTTTGTATTTTATTTAGAGACAGGGTCTCACTGAATTGCTTAGTGCCTTGCTTTTGCCAAGACGGGGTTTGAACTCTAGTTTCTCCTGCCTCTGCCTCCAGAGCTGCTGGGAAATATATTTTTTTATTTGTTCTTTGTAGATATACATGACAGTAGTTGGTGGTACATGACGTGGATTTACACTGGTTGTGTATTCATATGTGAACACAATGAGGTCACGTCTGACTCATTCTACTGTCTTTCCTGTTCCATTCTTTCTCCCTTCCTATCCATGTTTTTAAGTTAAAGCAAAGTTTTAAAGTTTTGCATTACTTCAGAGCTGCCTTCTATGTGTTCAGATCACAGCAGGTAAGCAGGCTTCTTCTGTAACCTGCCTTGGGAAGTTGGGGAAGGCATTTAGATGTTTCCTGAACCACATGTAGAGGAGGAGGACGTACATGGCAGGAAGCCCAGAGCATGGAATGTTCACAGGGAACCACAGGGTAGGTCAGCCATGTCAATAAGCTAGAGACAGGCATTGGAGGAGATAAAGGTAGGTGGCCCCAAAGGGGTCAGACCTCAGGGAAACTTGTGTTTCAAGATTTAGTTTTGCTGGGCACAGTGGCACAAGCCTATAGTCCCAGTGGCTCAGGAGGCTGAGGCTGGAGGATCTAGTTCAAAGCCAGCCACAGCAGAAGTGAGGTTCTATTCAGTGAGACCCTGTCTTTAAATAAAATACAAATAGGAAAATGGGCCTGGGGATGTGGCTCAGTGGTTGAGTGCCCCTGAGTTCAATTCCAGTACCACTCCCCACCCCCCACCCCAAAAAAGTTTATTTTGGGAGTGTTAGGTAGTAGGGTACCGGGAGGAACCAGAGATGACCAGAAGGATGGAGTTACAGTAACACAGGGAGGACAGGAAAGGACACTGTTTGAATGTCATTCCCTTGGGACATCCAAGTAGGAACACCAAAGTGTGGGCAATGCAAGCCCTTGATTCTGCATAGTGGGTCCACATTGCGGGATAGCCCCTGCCCCGGGCACATGTCAGCCACAAGCCCTTTTCCCAACAGCACCAGCATGCATACCACCATGCTAGAGTAACCCTTAGTCTAGGTGTGTTGCTCTCTAGTCAGATTGTAGTTGCTGGGAGAATTGGAGCTGTTAGCAGTTCCAGAGGAAGAGGAAAGGCAGCCTAGGAGCCTAATGATGCAGTCTGTTTCGTGTGCTTTACCTGGGGACTCAAGAATCCTGAAATGGCTTCAGCCAGTGCTGTTGGCTTCCCAGACTCATGGGTTATTGGCATGAGGGTGGAGCGTGCTGCACAGGGATGGATGTGCATGACTGGGTGGCACTTGCAGCATAAGTGAGGTTCAAGGATCAGGTAGGGCAGAGTGGGGGGGGGGCTTGGATCCAACTTTGTCATTTCAAGGCCAGCTGTATGCTTAGTCTTTCTTCTTTTCCAAAGCCTCACACTCTGCACATTAAAATTATTATTATTATTATTATTATTATTGTTGTTGTTGTTGTTGTTGTTGTTTTGTTTTGTTTTGTTTTAGAGATGGGACCTTGCTATGTTGTCCAGGCTGGCCTCAAGCTCCTGGGCTCCAGTGGTCCTCCTGCCTCACCCCCCAGGTAGTTAGTACTATAGGTGTGTGCTACCATGACTGGGAGAGAGAGAGAGAGAGAGAGAGAGAGAGAGAGAGAGA